GAGTTTTGCATTTGCCAAAAGTGCTAAGCCAACTTCTGTAATGTGTCTATGCTTCCTTTCAACTCTCCCATTATGTTGATGAGAGTAGGGACATGTGAGCCTATGAGAGATGCCATTGGCTTGTAGAAACTGAGTAAAAGCATAAGAAAGATATTCTTTACCATTGTCAGTTTGGAGGGATTTGATTTTCAAGTTAGTAAGAGTTTCAATCATAGATTTGTATTGAAGAAAAGCATGAAAGACCTGAGATTTATTATGCAGTAGATAAATGCAGCTATATCTAGTATAGGCATCCACAAATAACACATAGTACCTGCTTCCAGAAGTTCCAGAAATAGGTGCTGGTCCCCATACATCCGAAAAAATTAAATCTAAAGGTGCAGCATAATGAGTGGTGGATGGAAAATGAGGTAATTGATGAATTTTACCTAAGCAACAAGCTTCACAAACAGAAGCAGGCAGAACTGTTTTATTATAAGAAGTAGGAAGATTACATTGTTTCAAAACAGTATTAACAACCTGATGGCTAGCATGGCCTAATCTCTTGTGCCAAATATCAAAAGGAACACATTTAGAATACAATGCAGTAGGATTATTAGGAACAAAGAATTGTTTATTAACTAAGATATTCGAAAATTCATAGAGGCCATCTTTAAGCTTGCCTTTGAGGACAATATCCTTAGTGACCTGAGATTTGACAAGGCAATAGTCAGGAAAGAATTCAAAATAAACCTTGTTGTCTCTAGCAAATTGAGACACATTGATCAAATTCTTGGTTATGTGAGGCACATGTAAAAGATTTTCAAGTTTAAAAGTAAAAGGAGATGCAGGTGAGGTTAATAAAGAATGTCCAACATGTTGAATAGGCATACCTGCACCATTACCAATATGAACCTGTTCGGAGCCATTATACTCAGAAGCAGAAGAGAGATTACCAATATCATTTGTGAGATGATGGGTTGTGCCAGAATCAGGATACCAAGAACTGTCTGTGAGTGAGGCAGGACCAGCTATATAAGCTTTGGGATTATGAAAGGAGGAAGGTGGAGGTGGAGGAGGATGTTGATTCTGGGAATTCAGATTGTTCTGGGAATTCAGGTTGTTCTGGGAATTCAAAGGTGAAGGTTGAAAATTTGAATCAAAACGATAGTAGCATTTGAGAGCTAGATGTCCTGCTCGTCCACAAATTTGACATTGTAAACGATTTTGATTCCAAGATTGTGTTCTACCACCTCGAAATCCGCGGCCTCCTCTGCCTCTTCTTCCTCCATAGGATCTTCCTTCAAAATTGTTGAATCTGTTGTCTTGTTGGACATGACTTTGTGTGACATTGGCTTGGATGGGAGTTGAATCACTTTTCTTGAATCTTTCTAGCATTTCTTCTTGGGCAAGCAAAAAAGCTTCTAGTTCAATGACAGAAAAGGGAGGGAATCTGGACATTGCAGATGTTATAAGAGGTGCATATTCTTCACTCAACCCATCAAGAATAGCTTCTGAGTATTCAACTTCTGTGAGAGGTGAACCTACAGCTCCCAATGAGTCAACAATTTTCTTGATTTGAAGTAGATATTCTGGTGCAAGTCCTTTCTTCTTGATGGATTTCAGTTGGTTTTTCAGCTGTTTGACCTTTGCTTGTGTATGTGAGGCAAAATAGACTTAAAGTCTATTCCAGATTTCGTGGGCAAATTTGCATCCAACCATTCTGTTCTTGAATGATATATTCATGGAGGAGAGTAACCAAGATACCAGGAGATTATCTTGTTGATGCCAGCTTGCATAGTCGTTTGATTCTTCAGCATTTTCTTGATCTTCTTGAGTTGAAAATTGAGCTGGAATCTTATCTTTGTTGAGATGATCTTGTAGGTTGTGCCCATGGATTGATGCAAGAGCTAGTTGTTCCCATGGAAGAAAGCTTTCTTCATCAAGTTTGTCAGTAATGGGATTTGAGAAAGTTTTCATGATCAGCTTTGCTGCTTTTGCTTTTTCAGTGCTTGTAGTAGATGTTGGAGATGATTGAGGAGACTCCATGGATCGATATTGGCTCTGATACCATGTGAGGTATCAGACCTTGATTGAAAAGAAAGAGAAACTCACACACGGTGTGAATGAAAGCAATAAAAGAGAAAGGAAAGAATGCTTCTTGAATATAGATTGATCACAAAGATACAAGATGCTGCTGCTATTTATAGCAGAAGGCATCAGTTGAGAAATAATAGAAAATAACAGAATAACTACTATAACAGAATAACTACTATAAGAGAATAAACTACTTTAGCTATACATATCTATTACTTCTTCTCTTAATTTTTTATTTTAATTAATATTTCTTATATTTTATTTAATATAAGAATATCAATGCAATACTATTTGTGCTCTTGTTCATTTTGCGTTTCAGCTGGACTTGAACATTAAAATCAAAAGCACTTTCAAGGTTCTTCATATATATGAAGGCAGAGTAATTAATTTTCTAATCCCTACGTCTTTCTTTTCTTTTAGTCATCGTAAGTCCCCATTTTTCACAATGTCTATTGCATAATTGCAAATTTCGTAATATAATCATGACATGATATATCTTTTGTTATAATTAATTAACTGATTGGTATATATATATATATATATATATATATATATATATATATATATATATATATAGAGGTAGGATCTTTTGACACCGGTGTCAAATTTGAAACTTGACACCTCATCTGAGAGCCGTTAGATCAAAAAAGATCAACGACTCTGATTTGTAAGCATGTGACACCATTGATCTTTTTTGATCTAATGGCTCGTAGATGAGGTGTCAAAATTCAAATTTGACACTAGTGTCAAAGGATCCTACCTCATATATATATATATATATATATATATGGGAAAAATTATTCTTATGTTACATGAGATAACTACATACCCTTCGATAACTGAACCATCTTTTTCTTTTCTTTTCTTTTTATTTTTTCAGGTGGTGGAGCCCACAAGTTTGTCTATATGACATGAGATAACTTATCTCCTTTAACATAATATTAATAAAACGCTATATATATATAGGGTTCGCTTTTTCTACGGTCAATGTAGATAACTTATTTATAGTGAACCTAAAACGACGTCGTTTTGAGGTGGAAATTAATGTATTTTTGTAATTGTAATTTATTTCAAGGTTATAATAATATTTTTCATTATAATTTTTCAATCCAAAACGACTTTGTTTTGAGAGCGAATGTAAATAACTTATCTACATTCACTTTAGAAATATTAAAGTCATATATATATATATATATATATATATATATATATATATATATATATATATATATGAAAATTCATATACAAAAATTGGAATATCATAGGTACGAAAATCAATAATATTGCCACTAATATACCTGAAAATTTCATCTTTACTTATATTATTTTCATAATTTATTTTTTATATAAAATTTGTGATGAAGAAAAAATTTTGATCGGAGAATAAGTCCTAACACAACCCATTAAATTATAGGACTTTGGGGTTAGAATTAAAAAGACCCTAATGAATTAGGTCTAATTATATTGAACTTTGCGGGTTAGTTCGCAGACTTGAGTCCATTTTGACACCTTTAAATTTAATAGATTTAAAGCACCTAATAGCTAAGTAGGCTTAGAAGTTCCAAACTTATTATATTTTATGGGGCTTAAATATGTTAATATTTTACTTTTTAGAAATAAGTAATGTCATATAATATTTATAATTTAGTTTGTATCATATTGATTATTGATGGATAAGAACAAACACAAAATATTCTATATTAATTTGACTTAATTTAACCTATTTATATCAAGAGCCCTGTGGGAGACATGGTGGATGGAAAGAAAGGATGCCACCTATTAATTAATTTATAATTCCTGGTCTCCCTCATTAACTGAATGACCAACGTAGGCAATAGAACATCAACTCAGAAGTTGGCTTCTCTAAAGTCTGAATGATTTTTGTTCTAAAAAAAAAAAGTCTGAATGATTTTCACTTTACAGTTTTCTCCATCATCTAAGATATTTATGGACCAGCGTGGCACAGAGGAGCTATTTTGCCACTGTTTCATTTAAGATAAATTATTATACGATTTTGTGTATTTTTTGATAGAAAATTTTCACAAGCATAATTGTAGAAATTATTGCATGTTTACATATATATGTAACTTTACGTAGAATTATATCCGTATTATGATATTTAAATTTTAGTTAAAATTTAACATAAGTTAATATAATACACATGCAAATAAGTGATAAATTTTATTATTAATTAAGATTAAAATATTTTATATCTTACCTATGTTTCATCCACGTGTCAATGATCCATACTGTTTTGTTTTTTAAAAAAAAAAACACAAATTTGTCTTTTTATTTGTTTTTTTTGGGTATTATCTAACGGATTTAATTTGTTTCGCAGGATTCGAGGACAGGAATTTCAAATAGTCCCAGGATACATGCTATCATTTTCCGACACGTGGTCTATGCAATCTGTCTCTGTGACTTCGATCTGGAAATTCTAAACATATTTGGCGAGTATCCTCTCTTTTTTCACACTCGCTCAGTTGGTCCCACACATTATAACCTTAAAACCTTAGCATCCGAAACAACCTTGAGTCCTACAAAAACCACTTCTGCCTTTCCCTGCAAATCATCACCAACTTCTTTCTTCTTCCGCTCCATCGTCTTCCTATTTCCCTTTTTTACTCCCATAGTTTTCAAGTAAGTTCCTTTCGTTATTCTTTAGTCTCACTAGTTATTATTATTACTATATATATATATATATATATATTCACTATTTGATATTATTATTTTCGTATGTTTTCCTTTTTTTTCTATTTATACGTATGTGTAATTTTACTCATGTTTTTCAACCAATTGTTCGAATTTCTTTTCGGTTTAAGTCAATTTTCGCCATTATTTCAGATTTTGCTCATTTATATGCCAAAAGATCGAGAAGAAAACTTTGTGATGGAACCCTAGCAAGTTTTGAGTTTTGATTAAAGATGGGGAGAGGAAAGATCGCCATTCGAAGGATTGACAATACGACTAGCCGGCAAGTGACTTTTTCCAAGAGAAGAAGTGGGTTGCTGAAGAAAGCTAGAGAACTGTCCATTCTCTGTGATGCAGAAGTTGGATTGATTGTGTTCTCTTGCACTGGCAAGCTTTATGACTATGCAAATACCAGGTATGAATATGATCAACTTGTTGTCTCTTCCTTTCGTTTTATTTCATTGAGTGATATCAAAATCCACAACTTTGTGTGCTTTACTATTAGTTACCTGATTTTTTTTTTTGGTAGAAATTTCTTATTTTCGGTGAATAGTTAATCAAGTATAAATACACACACGATGATTGTGATTCTCATATACTTCGTGCAAGGTTGGTGTGCTTCTACTTGCATTCTGTATATTAATCTACGAACTTAGGTATAAGATTAAAGTCAAGGACTATTATGTTGGTATTTGAAACTTTCTAGGAAAACCTCAAATGATAAGACGTGGGGATACATTGTCAGGGAAATTTATCAATAATATAGTACTAGAACTCATGAATACGGAAATGCAAAACCTTTTGCTTTGTTACTCTTCATGCGGTGATTAAATTTACTATAAATTGGATGTAAAAGTTTTCGTAATATTTATAACTTGAAAAATTCATGAAAATATGTTCTTACGGATAAATGAGCTGCATTTGGTATTGCAATCCATTCTTCTACCTACCTGTATTTTTTTTTTGGGAATATTCCATCGATTTATTTCTTCGCGATTAGTTTGATTCGAGACGGGTCCAGTATTAAGGTTTTAAACCCTTTCTGAAGGTGATGGTAGATGATCAAACACATGCTCTCACCCTCATCTACTCAACTCATACGTGCCAACTGAGCTAGCATCATTTGTTACCTACCTGTATTTAAACCCGAGTTTCCTATGACATTTTGCTCTTTCTCTATCTTCGTATGGCTCATGTTCAAAAATCTAGTATTTGCTAGGTTTACAGTTTACAACTTATTTATTGTGTGATAGTGTTCTTGAGCTAGATTTGGGTGTCAATGGTCACACCCGTTCAAAGATACAAATCCAAATTCACAAGAAGTTAACAAGTTGGAGAGCTTAAGTTATTTACGTATAAAACTGCATCCTCTATCTTCTCTCACCGAGAAGAGATTTTTGTCAACATATATATGCATGGTTCATACTTGAATTGAAACAGACATTTAATTTGATAAATAACATCTATGGTCGAATCTAAACTTAAAAATATCAAATCAGCCACTAATTCTAATTGATTCGACACACAATTTTTGAGGAGTTGATCATTAAGGAATTCAGTTATCGAGTTAGTTGCGAGTTGTTAGGTTTGGTTATAAAGCAGCATTGCTCATGCCGCTTTATATATCCCCTTTTATCATTGAATCAAAGTAACAGTAACATACTCTTCGTTCTGTTCAACTTTCAGTCTTCTCTGTCTCTATCTTTATGCTTCTCTTCACAAACTTACACCATGTGTGTATAAAAATGATTCCGCTGAATGTTATCTTATATATAGTACTGCATAAAAATTTGCGAACTCCCTCATATTTTCTCACCATTACATTGAAACAATAATTTTATTATTTACAAAAACTGAAAGAGTGGTTTTCAAGACAATAATTATTTAATATGTCATTAATTATGCTCCATCACAACAAAGGCAAAAATCTCAAATGTGCTTATTGTGGCTTTTTGTAACTCTGAGCTGGACTATATTTTATTCTTCACCTACTTCCTCAAATCTCAAGGGTCTAGCGTAATGGTTTGACCATCGTTCTTAATGGGCTGTTTGTTACAAGGAAACTAAAAATAATCTCGGCAAACTTTTTTTTCCATCATTCTATTTTATACATCATATTTCTAAATGAAAATATCATCTTATACATGGTATTTTTATTTTCCCATAGCATCAGTAAAATTAATTCAACATTCTCGAAAAAAATTTGGCCTATCAAACACCTTTTCGTAATTTATTTGGAAAAAAAAATTTCTCATCATATTTCTAAAAATCTTTTTTCCATGTAAAAAAAAAATATCTCCTCTACCAAACGCCCCCTAAAGGTGTAGGTATTTCTGAAGCCTTCATATTGTTTTTCTATTAAATTGCCATATTGGAACCACATAATTATCAGCACTACTTATTTCACTGCAAATTACAATTTTATTGTCATTTTCCTCATCCTGGGAACAATCACCTCTCATCACTCCTCTCTTCATTCGTTTAGTTTCATAAGACAATCATGATATTCTACTTCACTTGCCTCACATATATGTCCTCCATTGTGGAATGCTCCAGTGGTTCTTGAACTTCACCATCTTCATAATCATCATCCAAGAGGAGATATATATAAAACTATTATTGTAGCCTCATCTAACAGTTTAAGTTTTTGGGTTGAATTAGTTCTTTACATGGTATCAGAGTCTCGGTATCACGGGTTCGATTCTCACCACCCCTATTTTCTCTTGTGAAATTTCTTAGCACGAGTAAGTGGACATGTATATTGTCCACCCTTCAAGCCCAATAGGCTCTTGTGAAAGAGGGCATGTTAGAGAAATATAAAATCATTAATGTAACCTCACCCAACAACTTAAACTTTTGGATTGAATTGATTCTTTACATAAGCTATTAGGTGAGGCTATATTAATGGTTTTATACTTCTCTAACACGTCCTCTCACCTGAGAGCCCACTGGGCTTGAAGAGTGGAATATGCATTAGGGCCAACCTACCTATGCTAAGAAATTCCACAAGAGAAAGTGGGGGTGGTAAGGATTGAACCCGTGACATCGAGGCTCTAATACCATGCAAAGAACCAATTCAATCTAAAAGCTTAAGCTGTTGGATGAGGCTACAATAATGATTTTATATATCTCTGATACGCCTTATCACACGAGAGCCCATTGAGCTTGAAGGATGGATGATGCATCAGGCTCAACCTACCTGTGCTAAGAAACTCCTCAAGACTTAATTAATTATTAATTAAATAGGGGTGGTGCGGATCAAATTACCATGACACTGAGGTTCTGATACCATGTAAAGAACCACTTCAACCCAAAACCTTAAGACGTTGGGTGAGAGCCATTTTAATGATTTATATTATTCTCTAACACACCCCCTCCCGCAAGAGCCTTAGGATTTGAAGCGTGGATATTGCATAGGCCTATTTTTTTCTTTTTAGTTTACCTTATGCTTATTTAATTTCTTAAGTGAGGGCTAGGGGTGTTCGCGGTCTGGATTGGATCGATTTTGGAAGCAAAAATCATCTGATCCAATCCCTTTGGTTTGATCATGTAATCATCCATTCGGTTTGAATTTTTTTTAAAATTTGATCCGATCCAATCCAATTTTTTTCGGTTTAGATTGGATCGATTTTCAGTTTTTTTAAAATCCTAAAATTTGTTTCATGATTATTGTGCAAATAACATCTTTTGTATATATTGACTTTGTAAATCTTTTTTTTTTTTTTGAAATGCAAAAACATTAGTAAATGATAATATAGTTTTTTTTTTTGAAATGAGATATGAAGCTCTACACAGATGAAATTTTGTTGATGAGATGTTACTAGGATTTTTCTTTGGTTTAGTTAATAGGATAATGGGTCTTGGGTTTAGAAATTTATAGGCTATGATTGGGGAAAGACCCAAGTAGGTCGAGGAAAATTAATATATTAGATCGATTTGGATTGGATCAGTTTTCATCAATCAATCCGAAAACTGATCCAATCCAATTAAAATTTGCGGGTTTTTTTCGATTTTTGATTTTTCGGTTTCGTTTTATTCAGTCATCTTTCGATTCGGTCATCGCGGTTTGAATCGATTGATGAACACCCCTAGTGAGGGCGGTGAGGATCGAACCCATGACCTTGTGGTCAAGGAAGCTCTAATATCATGTAAATAACCAATTCAACCCAAAAGCTTAAGAAGTTAAGTGAGACTACATTAATGGTTTTATACTTCTCTAACATGTCCCATAACACGAGAGCCAATTGGGCTTGAAGGTGAAATATGCATCAGGCGCAGCCTACCTGTACTAAGAAATTCCACAAGAGAAAGTGGGGGACAGTGAAGATCGAACCCGTGACATCGAGGCTCTGATACCATGTAAACAACCAATTCAATCCAAAAGGTTAAGTTGTTAGGTGAGGCTACATTAATGCTTTTATACTTCTCTAACAAATTTCACTATCTTCATAATCATCATCACATTCAACATATTGCTACGGATTTTCATGCTCTTGTTCTCCACCCAATTCAACAAAATCTAAATTATCAACAAGCATCATTAGTACCAAAATGCCAAAAGGATGGAATTGGAATCTCAATTTTCATCCCAATATTCTAAAAAAGATGAATTCTTCACAAAACTTACTCCCCGATTTTGTCCTTGGTTCATAATCATAAAAAGATTGACATTGTCCTCCTCATTATTCGTTACGTTCTTCAATTTCACTCCTTCAAATTGAGCACTTAAATTTGTCTGTGCAAGCTGTCACTCCAAATCTTAAAATAATTCATGGATAATTTGTCGCTCGAAATCATATATCTGTCATCTTTCTTTGCGTATAGATAAGTCGTCATTCCAAATCTTGAACCTTTTTCTATGCGCTTCAACTTTTTATATCTGTCTTTATTATGTGATAGTCGGTCTTCTTCAAGAACAAATCCACCATCCCCACCACCACAACTCCTACGTCCCAGATCAGCACAATTTCATTCATCTTTTAGTTAAAGACAACCAAGTACTCTGGTACCAAATAATGTGGAACGCACAAAAAAATGATAAAAAAAATTATAATTGATAAAACCATTATTTTCAAATCAATTATCAAAACAATAGAAAATTCAACAGCCAACAAAAAAATGATTAAAACGAAAAATTATAAATATAAAGGATAAAACCATTATTTTCAAATCAATTATCAAAACAATAGAAAATTCAACAACTAACTATTAGATTCTTAAATTCTTTTATATAGTGTTAAATAATCGTAAAATGCATTTAAAATAAAAAATGAAAAATCATTATTCCTACTAAAAAATAAAATAAAAAGATAAAAAAAAGCCCATATAAACCAACTCTAAATGCACTATTCTCCCTCATTTTTCTTTTTTATGATTTCTCATTGCCGATTCTCACTTCCACCACAACTCATGATTAATCATTAGAAGTGTTCATATCCAAAATAAATTCGTATAAATTGAAAAAATAACCGTATATAAAAAAAAAACAAAAATTGAAAAATAACAAGAAAGTCAAAGACTAAATAAGATTGATTAAATTTGTTTCTGTTTTATTTTCTTTTGTAAAAAATTATGTAAAGAACCAATTCAACTAAAAAGATTAAAATATTAGGTGCGAGTCTTTTTAATTATTTATATTTTACTCTAACATGCTCTCTCACAAGAGAGCCCATTAGACTTAAAAGATGGATGATGGATCAGGCCTAGCATACATGTGCTAAGAAATTCCACACAAAAAATGAGGGGTAGCGAGGATCGATCCTGAGGTTCTGATACCATTTCAACCCAAAAATTTAAACTTTCGGAAAAGGCACATTAATATTTTTTTATATATTTCTAACAAAACAATTGGTTTGATTCAGTGTTTTGGTTTCCGTTTATAAAACCGAACTGTTGGAACATAAACTGAAAAGTTCCTGAAATAAAAGATAGAAGATATTAAATCGTTAGCACTGCATGTTTTATATACATATCGTTAGCAATGAAAAATCACAAAAGCTACTAATTTAAATACACATTCTGTCAATTATTAATGTCGCAAACTTATGTAACCTTTTAAGGAGTTATATTTCTAACTATCTCACTGTGAATGTAAAACTAAACGGCAAAAGTTTTTTTTATCCAATCTAGTTTAATCCGGTTGGGACACAGTGGGACTTATATTGGGAGCGGCTCTCCAACATTATTTTTGTTATTCCCAAGACTGGAGCTCAAGATATCTGATTACTATATGGCCAATTAACTCCTTACGTTTCATTATAAACACTTCTTTTATTATCTAAAATTTTAAATTATAGTTATGTTTCGATTTTAATATATTTGGAAAATATCTTTTTTTATTTAAAGCTCTTTGACATAGCTTTTGATTATAAACTATTTTGATCATAACATAAAATTATCTAAACACACACTCAACAAAAAAATAGGGCAAATTACATTAAATCACCTTCTATTTAGGGTCATTTTTTAAAAAAAATGACTCTACACTTTCAATTCAAACAATTGACCTTCTTCCACTATCAAACCATAACAATTAAACATATTTAATAAATTTAAGACAAAAATATCCTTAAAAATATCCTTATACCTAGGGTTGTTCACAGCCTGGATTGAATTGGTTTTAAAGCAAAAATTATCTAATCCAATTCCATTCGGTTTGAACATTTAATCATCTGAATGATTTGGAATTTTTTTTTTAAATCTGATTCAATCTAATCCAATTTTATTCGGTTTGGATTGGATTGATTTTCAGTTTTTTAAAAAGCCAAAAATTTCAGTTATACAAATCACTAACTATATTAAAATAAAGTCATTCAAAGTTACAAAACACTGAAAAATTCAAGTCTTCAAACTATAACAAGTTTGAGACTCATGAAGAGTTAAAATAAATTAATAAACAATAAAAAACTAAAACAAGATAGTTTGCTATCCATAATATCCAAGATTCCAAGTCACTATCTTTCGAAAATAATAAATACATAATATATTGGATCAATTTGAATTAGATCGATTTTTCACCAACCAAACGAAAAATCGAACCAATCTATTTAAAATATGTGGGTTTTTTTTTATTTTTGATTTTTCAGTTATTTGTTATTCATTTTTTGGTCCGGTCTCCACAATTTGGATTTGTTAATGAACACTCTACTTATACCCATCAATCCTAATACCAACCCCAATTGCTCTAAACCATAGTTTGCCATCATAGTCATTGTCTTTGTTGTGATGTCAATCCCTCTTCTCCACCTTCAGCATTTCCCCAGAGCTTCTCCACACACACCTTTGTCAATCACCTCTCTTGCAACACCCTCTCAATTTGCAGTAGCAAGAAGCACCCACAAGGCCTTATCCTAATAACAACTTCAAGTTCCTCAAGGATGATGAAGAAGACATCGATTGGAGGACCAGACTACCGCACACAGAAAACTCTGGTGACTGGACAACCGTGAAGCAGCCTTTGGTCTGGATGACGCACTTATGGATCAAGAATGCTGCGTTAGCCGATGGCTGTCGGAGATTGGTGCCAACGATTATTGGTGATGGTGGACGAGAAGGGTATTTTTGTCTTATGATTACTAAATATGTTTAATTGTTCTATTTTAATAGTATGAGAGGGTAAATTGTTCAGATTGAAAGTGTAGGGTGGTCTTTTAAAAATTACCTAATTACAATATGGTTTTATAAAATTTAGCCTAAAAAATATGCTCTTATTTTTGTCAAGAGTTTAAATATAATTATTGATAGAATAAAATTTTATAGAATACAATATCCACTTGTGCTTTGAATGATAGAATTGTATTGATTAAAGTTGCCTTACTCTGGATTTATAAAAAGATATTTTTCTGACTCATTAATATGGACTTCTACATTTCTGGCAGCATGAAATCTGTTATTGAGCGTTATAACAAGTTAAAAGAGGACCATCATCAGCTAAGGAATCTTGCTTCAGAAGTCAAGGTAACATAGCCCATGCATGTACCACTCCTCCATTTGTTTTCAAGCTCTCCTGCATTTAGTTATATACACAGACTAGAGATTCATGATTTCTATAGTTTTGCATGCATTGGTATAAGTGAGGAAGGAGTTTTATTCAGAATTCAAGATGGAGACAGAGAGAGAGAGAGAGAATGTCTATAGAGAGGAGGGAAGAGATAATAAGAACGACAACAAAAAGAAACAATAAACAATTAAAAAGAATATCTTGGTTAATTTTCTTCCAAAGGATATCTAATACATATACTAAATTATTGTTTTATATAACAAATAATAAAGCACCAGTTGAATACTAATAAAGTGTTATATATAGTTATTTCTTTTAGTTTGATAAGGAAGAAATACGTAAAATATTTATTCATATTTTATTCTCCATATCTTTGTATATGTGATATAAGGCTATAAATATTCAAGACTCGACTATTATCTTATATGAAAAAAATAAATTGAAATAATGATTATTATAGGCAAAGAAAGAAAGAAAAATAATAATAAGTACAAAGAAAAATGCAAGTAAGTTGTAAGTTAGAAGAGGGATGAAGAGGAAGAGAGTTGAGTGGCTGCCTTATGGTTGTATGTTCGGCCAAGCCTCTCTATTGGGTTCTTAAAATGATGAACTCAATAAGTCATGGTCGAATCATGACTCCTTCCTTCCTGTAAAATGAAATCAAATTCAATAACTAGTAGTCATCTAGTTTTAAATTTAAATTTTAAGACTACTTCTAGAAACTAGGATTTGACTTGTAGGATAAGGACTTATCTTAATCTCATTAAGATAAGAATGAAATCTAAACAATTTAAATTCTAAACTTTTGAACATTTAAGATTCGAAGCAATTCAAATTTTAAACAATTGATAAGATATCTATCTTATCCTTATTCTATTCAAATTGAAATTAAGATCAGGATTTAATCCTTATTTAATTCAAACTTGATTAATAATCGATCCAATCAAGTGTATGGACTAGCCCTTTTCCATGTCCCTGTAGAATAACAAGCTAGTGCCTCCTAAGCCAAGCTAGTTTTCACCTATTAGGCTCAGGCCCATGTGTTCATAACACATGGCCCACTTAATTAACACTTGTATGATCCTATCACATAGGATCTATACTATACTCTTATAGGCTAAAACCATATCTTAGTCCAAGCCAACAAAAATGATATAGATATGTGACCCATTAGGCCTAAATAGCCATTAACATGAATAAGCTTGGGCACAATAAACTCTTTGGGCCCAACTCATTTAATGACCATATATACAAAGTACTAGCAATACTTTGTGACCCCAGAGCTAAATGAACGATCAAGTGATAAACCTTTCTCGTAGGGTTATCGTGTCAATCCATCCCTTCATCTCGTTATCCACCTCTCGGTCAAGAGTAAGGATATCGTTTCAATTCTCGAGTGATCGGAAGAAAGCTTTTTCAGAACTAGTAGTTTTATTCAATAAACTCTATGAGTAGATCCATGGACTCCTTCATAATCCCTTTACCATTCGTGGATTCTCGAGTTTAATAGAAGTCATCTGAGTCCTACTGGTCTCTTGTGGATAACCTATCTCTTAAAGAGATGATGAATCTTATTGGCTTGTCTATTTATACTCAAGCCCTCAGGCCATATCCAAGATTACGTTGTGCTCCCCATGTTTTAGGTAGATAGAGTTATACAATCAAAGTATAACCCTTAGTCATAGTAATTTATGACAACCTCAAGTTTAAAGATGATTCAAACTACTATACATGTTGCAAGGATTCCTTGTGGAGTCTCTTTGTGAGTCAGTTCAGTGTGATTTGTTCCAATATCAAATCCACCCACATGACTGCATCCATGAGGTCCATACCTTACATCACATGTAAGTAGCTGATGTCGTACTAGTCGAATCCAATCAACCAATGCACTTTCTTGGTGACCCTCGACTAGGAACAGTTTTTAGCTAATGATCAAATAGTGTACTTGAGTCCTCATGATCATGATCTCATCATAGATCCTTAAGATATGCCTTCATCATTCCAAGGGCCTTTATCCGTAAAATAGTTGTAATAAGAAATGAATAGAGACATATAAAATAGATAAAGTAAATGCTCTAAATTATTATTCATGAAATATGACAAAGTACATGGTGTCATCTAACTCTCAAATTGTCACTAGGAAGCCAATACTAACAAAGCATGTATGTTTCCCTATCAATATCTCCATTAGAAAATACATTATTGACATGCATTTGTTGTAGGGACCATGTTGGAGGCTTATCAAACCATCCATGGGTAGTAGCCGTGGCTAATATAACTCAAAAAGTACAAGTTTAGCAATGAAAGCATAAGTATCATGATAACCTATTTCGAACTAATGGCCTTTTTTCCTTGTGAGTGAGGGACCAATGATCAAGTACGTTTGTGAGATAAAAACTTGTATCTCCCTTTGCTTGGAATTTCTTTATTACTTGTTTTCCATGGTCTTGGTAAAAGGTGAGGGTTTATTTTGAAGGCTACAAAAATAAAAATAAAATGTATGAAGAATTAAAGCTATGAAAGAAAAAATAATTATTTAATGGGTTTGGGATGATATTACATGGAGAAGATGATTGCTTCAGGCAACAAAGGCAAGCATAACAATACAGGTAAAGAGGGGGGGGGGGGGGGGGGGGTTTCAATTGCATTGATGTTGAGAAATTTAAGTGTGGCAAGTAAGTTGTGATGTGGTGAGCTAGATACAAAAGGTTAAGGTATTGGAGCGAGGTAATTTTGTGTGTGGAAAATGTTTGGTGATACATGACAATGAGATGAATCTAGTGATGAAATAATGCAAGTTTTCTTCTTTCTATACGATTTTGAGAAACCACGGCAAAAATAGTGTTGGAAAATCTACAAGGAGGATCCAAAGTTTAAACTGATACCATAATAAAGTTGCAAGAACCCCGTACAAAAGTTGCATTGCTTTGTAAAATATTAAAAGTTGGGAAAGATTATATTTATTACAATTTTAATTTTACTACTTTTACTATCTCTTTGGTTACCATTGAATCAATTTGAAATCAACGACATTTAATTTTTTTTCTTTTTCAACCGTTGATTTCAAGTTGGTCTAACCGTAACCAAACAAGTGGTAAGAATAGTAAGATCTAGATGGTAGTAAGTATAACCGCTCCCTTAAAAGATATATAAGAAAAAATAATAAAATATTTCACTTATATTTTGTAGGTCCCCTGTCCGTATTTATCGGAGAAAGGAGTCATTAAATTGGGATATGTTGTAGCTATAATTAAAAAAAATTACATAATCACCTAATATTTTTTTTGAGATATTATTTTTAACTGTAACTTTAAAAGAGATTTTAAGATAAAAAATTGACCCAAATACTTTAAAATAACTTTAAAATCTATTAATTAGTTTGTCAAGCAAAAGATTCAAAATACCCACACAAATATGTGGTGATATTACCAGACACCACCACGCAAATCTTATGTTCCTTACCTCGCATTATATATCGTTTATATATATTCTGATATCTGTACTGGCCAGTTTTGGCAGAGAGAATCAGCAAGCTTGAGGGAGCAGCTGCAGAACATGCACGAATGCCACAGGTAAAAAGTTCGTTTTAAATCTCCTAAAAGCAATGTCTCTTAAGAACCACTTCAACTGATCAAAACCTTAAGGTGATACGTGATGTCTTTTTAATACTTCATATTTTTATTCTCTAATACAGTCCCTCACGCAAAAGTTTTTGGGCTTGAAGCGTGAATATGGCACAAGTCCATTTTTGGTCGCCTTGTGCTGCACAAGCTTATTTTTTAGTTTGCCTTGTGCTGCTCTTAATTCTATATGAAAGTGAGGTGGTGAAAATCGAATTCGTAACCTCATGATCACAAAAGCTTTGATACCATGTGATCTGGATAAAATATAGTGTATTTGGTCTGATCACCACATGTTATGTATCATTCACACTTTTCTATCAAATCTTAACTTCTAAATCTGATTTTACAATTTTTTTGTAAAGTTCTCGAATTAGTAAAAGAGGAGGGTGTAAAGAACCTTCGGATACACCACCTCAAAAGTTAGCTCAAAGGGTGGGAGTGTCCAAGACCTTATAAACTCCACATTAGTTGCACATACAACCAATGTAGGACTATATATCTCAACACGCCCCCTCATGCAAGAGCCCTTTAGGCTAGAAGCGTGGAAATTGCACAGGCCATTTTTTGTTTACCTTTTTGTGCTTTTTTTTATTTTAATTCCACTTTTTAAAGCGGGGGAGGGTGAGGCTCTGATACCATGTAAAGAACCTTGGGATACACCTCCCCAAAAGTTAGCTCAAAGGGTGGGAGTGCCCAAAACCTTATAAACTCCACATTAGTTGCACATACAACCAATGTAATACTATATATCTCAACAGAGGGGCAGGGGGTGGGATGGGGGGTGGGTTTACAATGATATGGCATTTTCATGAAGATTTAAAGCACACTTTTTGTAAACTACACAATTAAATAAATCAGAGATCAAAGGTTTACGATTTTGCAAATCCAAAAACTGTACCTTCTGAAACAAAACAAGAACAATGATATTTAGGATAAGAATTTTACTTACAACATTTTTAGTCCTATGACATAATAACCTGTCAGCAATTAACACATCTAAGAATAGGAAGAATAATTCCACTTTTTTTTTAGGAAGTGCAGGCAATTGATGGGTGAAGAACTTTCTGGTTTGGGTATCAAAGAGTTACTAAACCTGGAAAATCAACTCGAGACGAGTTTAAAGGGTGTTCGCATGAAAAAGGTATCATTGTTCAAAGTCAAGGCAAACCAAAGCTCCTCCCTTTAAATTTAAGATGCCATCGCTTTCATGGTACATGCATGATTCTTAGACGATATTTATTTATCTACAGGATCAAATTTTGACTGATGAAATTAAAGAAATACACCTAAAGGTTTCAGGAATCAGGTTTTGTTCCTTCAACAAATCAAAGGTATTTTCACAAATTTCTGACTGATTTCCATTGATGCTGTTGTAGGGAAGCCTCATTCATCAAGAAAATGTAGAACTTCATAAAAAGATAGACCTCATCCGTAAGGAAAATGCAGAATTACAGAAGGTAACCGATCTGAAAACACATTCTATATTTAAGAATATGGCATTCATAGTGTCATAAATATATATAAGCATGTATGACGAAGAAATGCACTTATAATGAAAACGTTTGCACACACGTAAGAAGAAGGAGAGTGTTGAGAATTCAACTGTAACAAGTGGCGGAGCCAGATATAATTTTTAGTCCGTGCCAAACATTAATTTCTAAAAATAATGGCCATTGCCAACTATGAAAAAAGCCATGGAAAAAGCTGTTATTTTCATAGTTCTCTGTTATTTTATTTCCATAGTTCTATAAATAAGAAATTAATCATTTTTTGAAAACAGCCAATGCTAAGACACTTGTTGGTTCTAAAGTGGCTCCACCACTGATGTCACATATATATAAGTTATGAGTAGAATTGTAACTTAATATTTTAAAATTTTGAATTAAGAAATGATGGCTATGTTTGATTGTTGTTTTGAAAAACAGTTTTTTAGTTTTCAGAATAAAAAATCTAAAAAATTTGTTTGGTAAAGCCTGTTTTGTAAAAAATGTTTTGAAAACTATAACTGTTTTATTGTTTTTAGAATCAAATTTAGAGAACATGTCTGGGTTGTTTTAGTTTTTAACTTTCAAAATTAAATAAATATAGAAAACAACTATTTTCATAACTATTTTACAAAACAAAACATTTTTAAGAAAAAAAAAAAACCATAACACAATCAAACAGACTCGATGTCGCGTGGTTTGTTGATTAACCTGTCTATATTGAGAATCTAAAGGTTCGAGTTAATTTATTTATTTCAATTAGACCTAAATAAAAGATGTGCATGGATCTTAGGTTATGGAAGCAAGACGTAAGAAAGAAGAAGATGCAACATCCAATCCTCGATACACTATCAGCTATGGATATGACATACTCACGCCTACGAGTCTCAAGCTAAGCCAGCCATCGCCTCAACACAGTGAACCACCGGCCATAGCAATGAAACTGGGGTATTCCCTCAACCTGATGAAGTTAAATGCTCAGCTTGAGTCTATAATTTTTTATCCTTAATAGCATTATGAACTAATCAGCTAAAGTTTGCACCAGATTACAGCAGCATTAGCAAAAGCTGTTCGATAAATAGGGATGGCTTTCATTTCTCAAAAGCTGCCAACAACTTTACCCAATTGACATGCGTCTATCAGTGGGATCTTGTACTTCATCAACCACGTACACCTCTTCCATTCAACAGTATAATGCTTATGTACATGGTATCAGATTATCTATCAATTATTGACTTACATAGTTGCTAAGAGTGGGACATAATAGTAGCCTTCGTAACTTTTATGCAATAAAGATGATGTCATCATTGTTCCTGATGTTGTTTAATGGAATTCAGAACGCAACCCCCCAGTGCATATAACCTCATTCCTTAACAAGCTATGAACATCGGAAAGAAAACTATGCTGATAAATGTTATTCTTGTGTTTCTCTCTCATTCTCTTCCATTAATTAGTCTTTGAAAAAAAAAAGGGACTGCAGATATCTGCATTTCAAAATCGTACTTGATCCCGATGGTCTTCATTTTTTAGGGAAAAACAACCAATTTTTTTTATTTCTCTCTTAAAAAAAGTCTAAAATAAAAAAGAAGAAGAAGATCAAAAGGAAAATAAAGACAGTTCATAATTCATATATAAGTAAAACACTTCTCAAGATAATACTTAATTTATTCGGGTACGATATTATAACAACCAATTGGGATTACTATCAATATTATTACCAATCAATTTCATCGTTAGATCGATTATGTAAATCCAACGGTTATATTTATTTCTATCTTTGTATGGTCATAATTTCCCATACTTAATGTGAGAGCATTAAATATGAAAAATCATGACCATACAAAGATAAAAATATATATAAAATATTAAATATAAAAAATCATGACCCTATTTTATAAAATTTATTGACTTACATGCATGCGTCTATCAGGGCCCTAATTTATTTCATATAAAAAATTTAGAAGTTTAAGTTTAGTAGTAGTTAAGCAGACTTGGATTCTACAATGGATATAAATAAAATATTTGACATTTTTTCACCATCTAATAAATAACTTTTTAAAAAAAATATTATGTATATCAATCTAATTAACCATCAAATTATGATTATTCATATTATGGGTTTAGTGTGTACTATTTTAAAGGATATAAGCTTATGATTTTTCACCCCTTATAACTATATACTCTGGGGAATATATAGTTATGACCTTTTAACCGACAAGTTTATGAAAAGTTTATAAAGAGAGAGGAAAAAAAGTAATTTTAATATTAATTATAACTATGTATTCTCCAGAGTACTTAATTATGAGGGGGTGAAAGTAAATAAGTTTATATCCTTTAAAAGAAAAATAATTTTCCCTTATATTATTTGTATCATGTCTTGTAAAAATTACATTACAATAAAAATATAATAATGTAATTCTCAATTTTCAAATATTTTAAAAATATATTTTACATTAATATATCGTAATGTGAATCAATGAAGTTCTACATAATTTTGAACTGGTAAATTTTATAAATAAATTTTATACAATATAAACTTTCAATTTTGTGGTGAAATTTGTAGGAAAATTATTTAACAATTTTTTTTCAAAGATCTAAGAGTGATTTTGATTTATATTCCTAAAAAATTCATCCCTCATGTACTTGCCTTTAAGTCTTATATCCATTATTAGTCATTAGTTTTACTAGTATTTAATAATTTTAATTTATTAATCACATAAACTGTTAAATACAAATAGAATCAACAATTAATAATAAATGTGAAACTTATTACAATCACCCTTGTGCACGGTTGATCCTCCTTATATACATGTACGTATATGTATAACACTCATTTTGTGAGTAATGAAAAATGGCAATGGCTAAAACGATGGAAGTACTTCTTATTGCTCAATATTCATATGAAGGAAGGATAAAATGGGATACTGTTGAGTAAAATTTACTACTGTACTGCCATGGGAAAGCAGCAAAGGCCAGACAATAGGTCAAGGTCAACGAGAATTAGAGCTTCTTTGTTTCTCCTTCTAAAGAAAAAAAGTAACTTTTATCTCTTTTTTATTTTAGAAGTCTTTTTTATAAAAATTAAAACTATTTATATTTTTATAAAAATATTTAGTTTTTGAAAAAAAATACTTGACTTTTGACTTCTGCTTTTTTAAAAGTTAAAATTTTAGTTTCTGGAAATATAAAATTTTAACTTTTTTTGTGACTTCTGTTTTTTATAAAAGCAGACATTCAAATGAACTAAAATTGAAAAGTATTTTTGTTTCAACAAAAAAAAAAAGAATTTGAAAAGAAAAAAAAAAATCATCCAAACATGCGCTTATGCCCAAAACGTAACTGGGCAGTGCTTGAAAGTTGAAACCTGACCAAAAGCAGCATTGTAAGCACATAGTTTTACCTCGTACAGACGTGACTGGCCCTCCCGACCTACTACCAGGTGCCAGCAATCAAGGACAACGTTGTCAGAAAATGTAAGGATAGAAGGCAGATAAGACATGTAAGCACACGTACTCATATCTTTCGTACGCTCGCTCACTCGCGTTGAGAACTTTAGATAGTGTGAATACTGACAACAAAATCAAAAAAATAAAGGAAACGTAGTGTGAACACAAGAATCCCATTAATTGTTTAAGGACAAAAAACAAAAAGTTACGGTGTGAACACAAGCAGCCAGCTGATTGTCTAAGGTAACAAAGTTATCTTTCATTGGACACAAAATCTTTATCACGTGGACACAACCAGCCCAAATTAAAGAATTGTTTAGCTTCAAATCATTTCCATAACTAAGTAAAGTAAACAATGTTTCCCTGACTTATTGGACACACCCAAATTAAGTAATTTAAGTTTTAAGAATTTATAGTCAGATTGTCGATAATGGAAAGGAATCATGGGGAAAGACCGTTTGCTTCATTTTTTTTTTTTTTTTCCAAAAACCTAAAAGTAAGAAAAGTAAGCGCCCTCTGTTTTGTTGGAATATCAATGTGTCAATGATCCATAGGCAAATGACACCCTCACTAAACGTCACCGTGGGTTGCAATCTGACTACGACCTGCCTTGGTAATTTTGGGTGTTTTTTTTCTTCTTGGTATCCTATTTTGGGTGTTTTTTATTTCTCAATAACTGTGATTCCTAATATTATAAATTTGAAGCAATTTTAAATATTTTTAAAATAAAGAATATTATTATTTCAAAAGATATAATTTTATATCATTTTAAATTAAATGACCTTTTTGATGTTATTTATTGGTATTTTATATTCTCTCTTCCACAATTTAAAAATGGGTTTGATATTTATCATTTTAAATGACATAAGTTATGTCATTTTAGAAAAGAGATAGACACAAGAAATAGAAATCATGAAAAAGAAAGTGAGTGATTTTTTTTAATTTTAATTTTAATTTTTTTTTTTGTATCTATCTCTTTCCCTTAAATGACATAACTTTATTTCATTTAAAATGATAAACACTTTTTCTTTAAAAAATATAAAAAATCAATAAATATATATAAAAATACGATCATTTCATTTAAAACGATATAAAATTATATCCTTTGAGATGATAAGTATTTTTTTTCCTTTTTAAAATGATAAAAACTTAAATATTTTATATTTTATTTAAAAATATTTTTAATATATTTTTTAAGTAATTATCTTAACATACGACATAAAGTAAAATTTTGTTTATTCATTTTAATAAATTGTGAATGTGAACAACGATTAAACATTTATCTTTTCTAATTACGATTCTGTTTACTGCAGGCACAGGGCCCGAGATAAATTTATGAAAAGCTAATTCAAAAGATGCAGAAACAAACAGCCTATATTATTCTAATACGAGTATTATTTATACATAAATAGTATTGGAAATTCTGAACAAAACAAAACTGGCGAGCTTTCAGTCCTTCAAATCCCATTTTTAGCTGTCCCTATAAAGCATCAAATTGCATCGCATCACAACTTCTTTCTCCTTTTCCTTCTTCGTTTCTTCCTTTTAACTCCCATAATTTTCAAGTAAGTCATTTTCATTATTCTCTTTTTTTTTTCTCTATTTATTCTTATTATTTATATATGTTTTCACTGCTTATTTCGGTTTATGTTTTTCAACAACTTTGTTCAAATTTATTTTTAATTTAATAAAGCCAATTTTCGCCACTAGTAATCTATATCTCATAGCTTGTTCATTGATATACCAAAAGAAGAGAAGAAAATTTCGTGAAGAAACCCAGCAATAGGTTTTGACTTTTGAGTAAAGATGGGGAGAGGAAGGATTGCTATTCGAAGGATCGACAATTTAACAAACCGGCAAGTGACTTTCTCTAAGAGAAGAAATGGGTTGCTGAAAAAAGCTAGAGAACTATCCATTCTCTGCGATGCAGAAGTTGGATTGATGGTATTCTCTTCTACTGGCAAGCTTTATGATTATGCAAGCACCAGGTAGAATCAAATTATTATCTCCTCCTTTTGCTATATTTAATGAGTGATCAAAATCCATATCTGGGTGCTTAATTACTAGTTTACATGTACATATATATACACATGTTGATTGTGGTTCACATAAACTTGGTTGGCATGGTTCTAATTTCACTCTACGAATATATGAACTTAGATAAGTTTAAATAAAGGAGTATTGTGTAAGTGTATGAAACTAGTGAAATATGAGATGATAACTACATTTAGATTGAGGAATGGGGATACAATATCTGGGAAACTATAATATATATTATATACTAAAAATTGAACTAGGGAATGAATAAGCCTTTTGCTTTGATACTCTTCAAGCACAAGCAGTAGTTAATTTTAATTTATATAAGTTAGACCTAATATGTTCTTGTGATATTTATAACTTTAAAACTTCAAGAAAAAATGTTCTTCTGGATAAGTGAGCTAATTGGTGTTGTAACCATGCATCTATCTGTCTGCATTTGAATTGAACTTGACAAGTTTCCTAGGATCTTTGCTCTTTTTGTAACTTCTATGCCTCGTGTAAAATCTAGATGTGGTTGCTAGGCTTACGGTTTACAATTTATCCATAACATTATAATTCTCAGCTAGATGTGGTTGTCTTTGATTGGTCTTATCTACTGAGAGACATTAATCCAGAATGACAAGAAGTTAACTAGTTGGGGAGCTTATCTAAGCATTAGTTATTTACGTACAAAACTGCGTCATCCATCTCCTATGTGGTGCATGTATGACTTAAAATTAACAGTCATTGGGAATATCTCTTTTTTAAATTTTCACTTGATTTTTTATGCGAAAATTCTGTGTCTATTTTTCTCTTTATAAATATTCACAAATTTTGATAGATTGAGACAAATATTGATATAACCTTATCATATGAAAATCTCACATGAAAAGATGCTAAGTGGTGGTATCTACTATTATGTCATTTGATCAAGGACTTGCCAAATCAAATGAAAATTATATATACCTTGTCATTATTTTATATGAAAATTTTCATTTTGTATTGATTTGCAAGATCGCTTTTGAATTGAAATTGCTTATAAATACCTTGTTTTTTTCCCAACTGTTTTGCATGATATCAAGCACTAGGCACCTCTCGGATGTTGTATAAATAAAAAACAAGAAATTATATTTCCTTGGTGATTCGAACCAAACTAACTCATTTAATTAGGTTAGTTCGGTTTAGGTATAGCTTTCAAAAATTGATCCAGACGGATCAGAATTATTTGGTTTGGATTTTTTTTTTTCGTAAACTCGAACCAACCCAATCCACAAATACAACATCAACCTCTCCTAGTTTCAGACAATAACATGAACTAATTATGTATCCATGAACTTTGTAGTAGGATTAGCCCTATCCAAAGGAAGTGATCATGGTGGTGTATTCTCCAAAAACATTTCATAGTTGTAAAAGTCGTAATGCCTTTTTTAATACCGTAGTGAAGCTTTATGGCTTTCTGGAAACCAAGTTTTCTATTCGAAACCAAACATTTCTATTCAAATTTTGGAAGCATAAGAAAGATTTCGACGAATAAGTATGAGGAGTTTACTCCACACAAAACGAAGGTTGTCTTTTTTGGTGATATTTCTCATAAATGGGGCAACACTATTTGTCATCATAATTAGTCTTAGACAGTGGCGGACCTACATTGTTATATGTGATGAATAAGTATGGGGCAACCGTTGCAAAGAAGAGGTTGCATCATCCTTGCTGCGGGAGGAGAACGGATGCAAAGAAGAGGTTGCGTCGAGCTGGGGCAGTAGGTGGGCTCGTAAACAGCGTCAAGAAGCTTTAGAGGCGTGGAATCAGCTCCAGACGTGATCGCGCGTTCAGCATAACTGATGCTCAATTTCGGAGTATTCATTTACAGGAAAGATATGATACACATGACCCAAAAGGTCTTTCCTCTACGGATTGTTATTTCTGAGAAAAAGATCGAAGGTCATAGAGATTGTAGCAGCACAGTGGTTTTACTCTTTGCACAATCTGAAGTTTGTGAGATGTGGGCGTGTTCAGGTTGCACGGCAATTGTTTGACAGAATGCCTGAGCAGCAATCTTGTTCTTATAATTCAATTTTTTTCTACGAATCTTTTAAAAAAAAATTTGGTGAAGTTTGATATTTTGTAATCCATTATTTTATAGTGGAAATTCGATTCTGCACTAATATCATGTGGATTTTTATTTTTTCACATTGAAAAAGGTTTTGCTATGTTAAAAATCTGTTGTATTTCTCTCTCTCTCTCTCTTCTTTTCTGCATTTTCGTTTCGGCTGCACATAGGCCGACCTGGTGATTCAGACCGAGCTCTGATTGCCGAGTTTCAAGCTCGACATTTGACTTTCGCAAAGACTTCATAGCCAAGATTGAGGGACCGAATTCGTCCCAACACTCACTTCGAGGGCCCGACCAACACCGGTGACAGGTGAAAGTCTCACAACATATGTTCACCCTCACTGAACTCCAGTGGTCGATGCTTGTCATCATAGTAACTTTTCTGGCGATTCTGTGCCTGTTTCAGCATTTCTCTGATCATCTGGATCTGCTGGATAGTCTCTTGGACAAAGTCTAGGCCGAACAACTCTCGATCTCCAACCTCAGACCAACAGGTAGGAGGCCGACACCTCCTACAATACAGTGCCTCATAGGGTGCCATGCCCAGCCTAGTACGAAAACTATTGTTGTATGAAAACTTAACCAATAGTAGGTATCGATCCCATGCTGAGCCCTGCTCCAATGTGCAAGCCCTCAACATGTCCTCCAATATCTGGATGGTCCGCTCAGTCTGTCTATCAGTCTGAAGGTGATAGACTGTACTCAACCTCAACTGAGTACCAAAAGCTTCTTGTAGCGCTCCCTAGAATCGAGATGTGAACTTCGGGTCCCTATCACTAATGATACTCTCGGGCACCCCGTGAAGCCTCATAATCTCGCGAACGTATAGTTTGGCCAACTGCTCTGTCGTGAAGCTCAACTTTACTGGAAGAAAATGGGCATACTTAATCAATATGTCCATAATGACCCAGATAGAGTCACAACCAGCCCGAGTCTTAGGCAATCTCACTACGAAGTTCATGGAAATGCTCTCCTACTTCCATTGCGGAATCTCAAGAGGTTGAAGCTTACCAGACGGTTTCTGGTGTTCGATCTTCACTTTCTGGCATATCAAACACTTGGATACATACACAACTATGTCTTTCTTCATGCTCGACCACCAGAAATTTCTCCTCAAATCATGATACATCTTTTTAGCCCTAGGGTGGATAGTGAATTGGCCCTTATGAGCCTCTGACATCACCTCTTCAGTCAATGGACCTCTAGGAACTGCAATCCTTTTCTGGAACATACACAATTCATCATCATTCCAAGACACACCATCTTGGTTCTTCACATAATCAAGGCAGTCCCTTTGCACTTGCGCCTCTTTAATCTTCTCCATCAACTCATTTTCAACTTTTACAATCTCCATCTCGAGAAGTGCACCTCCAAACAAATAGGTCACTGTCAAATCTCGAAACTTCTCAATCACATCAAAGTCACCCATCATCAAACTGGATAAACTCACGGATTTCCGACTCAAAGCATCCGCTACCACATTGGTCTTGCCCGGGTGGTACTTCAACTCAAAGTCGCAGGCCTTCAGAAATTCCATCCATCTCCTTTGTCTCATGTTCAGCTCCTTCTGGTCAAACAGGTACTTTAAACTCTTGTGGTCACTGAACACGGCAAACTTCATGCCATAAAGGTAATGCCTCCAAATCTTAAAGGCAAAGACAATCGCATCCAACTCCAAATCATGAGACGGGTAGTTCTATTCATGAGGCTTCAACTGCCTCGATGCATATGCAATAATCTGTCAGTCTGCATCAACACACAGCCCAGTCCCTTCTTAGAGGCGTCATAATAAAGCTCAACCTGCTCAGCAGGATCAGGAAAGACCAACACTGGTGCAGTGGTCAATCTCTCCTTTAACTCCTGAAAGCATTCCTCACACTCGTGAGTACACACAAACGGAGTCTCCTTCTGGGTAAGGCGAGTCAATGGTAAAACCATCTGGGAGAATCCCTCAATGGACCTCCTATAGTAACCTGCCAAACCCAATAAGCTCATAACTTCTGTAACTTTTTTGGGTCTCTCCCAATCCAACACAGCCTCAATCTTGTTCGGATCTACTGCAACTCTTTCTGCAGAAATCACATGCCTAAGAAATTTCACCGACTTGAGCCAAAACTTACACTTTGAAGGCTTAACATAAAGCTTTTTCTCCTTAAGTACTTGCAACACAATTCTCAAGTGCTTCGCATGCTCCTCCTCACTCTTAGGGTAAATCAAGACATTGTCTATAAAGACGATCACAAAATGATCCAAGTACGGCTGGAAAATATTGTTCAAGTAATCCATGAACATCGTCGGTGCATTGGTGAGTCTAAACGGGATCACCAAATACTCATAATGACCGTATCTCGAACGAAATGCAATTTTGGGGACATCCTCCGGCTTAACCCGGATTTGATGGTATCCGGACCGAAGATCAATCTTGGAATACACGCAAGCACCCCTAAGTTGATCCAACAGATCATCAATACGAGGGAGGGGATACTTGTTCTTGATTGTCACCTTATTCAGCTGTCTGTAATCGGTGCACAATCGCATTATTCCATCTTTCTTCTTAACAAAGATGACTGGTGCTCCCCATGGAGACACACTCGGTCGAATGAAATGCTTCACGGAAAGATCCTCAATTTGTTTCTTCAATTCCGCTAACTCAAGTGGAGACATCCGGTATGGTGCTAATGAAATAGGCTCCACACCAAGCAACAGGTCAATGGAGAACTCTATCTCCCTTTGTGGCAGAAACTCAGGAATCTCCTTAGGAAACACCTCGAGGAATTCCCTCACCACAGAAATGCCGGTAATATCCTCCTGTGTCCCACTCACCAAACCTCCCAACATGACATAACCAAATGCCCCT